CTGGTAGTTAGGACACTCATAGGATATGGGAGTTCAGGTTCAAGTCCATGCTCCAATGATTATTTAGTTATTTATAAATTTTGCAACAGCTTCAAACAGTAGAATTTGAGAACAATCCACATCCGAATATTCCATAGCTGCATAGCTCAAGTACTCTACTACAATGTAGGAGACCCAAGTCCAAATCCCTTCTCCATTTAAGAGAGTGGGGTGAATTAAACTTGGTTCTTCACATATCAGGCGAGTGCCCTAACCACCAGGTGAACTGTCATGAGGAAAACAGCACCGCTTTCCTTCCACTGCCATTTTCTGAATCCAGGGGAGCTGATAGGACTGCCAGGCCCCTCAACAGTGCGTGTGTGTGAGGGAACTCCACGTTCTTGAAGGGGGTGGGGCTGCGCCAGCCAGCACTAGCCCTCATAGCAGCCCAGAACACGCTGTGTGCGGCTCCCATGGTGATTCTAAAGGGCCCAGAGCTCCAGCTGCTGCACTGGACGTGTGTGCTTGATGTGACCCTCCCCAAAGAATCTGAAACAGTAAGGAGGGTCGCTGACAAGTATCAGTTTGCAATACCCTGAACAGTTTAAACCCAGGCATAGGTTCCTTCGGTATTGGGCAGCACTCTGAACAGAGGGTGTGTCTAGACTACAGGGTTTTGTCGACAAAACTATACCTGTGTCTACACTGCTGCTGAGTTCTGTCGACATAATGTTGACAGAACTCAGCAGTTTTGTCGACGGCTGTAAACCTCATTCTACAAGGAATAACGCTTTTTGTCGACAGAGTTCTGTCGACAGAAGGCGTTATTGCATTTACACTGTCCTTTGCATCTACACTGTCATGTCGACAAAGCAGCTTGCTTTGTCGACAGAACTGGATGTAGTCTAGACGCTCTTTGTCGACAGTATCTGTTCACAAAACTTCTGTCGACAAAAGCCTGTAGTCTAGACATACCCTAAGAGAGAAAGAAACAAAAAAAGAAAAGCCCCCAAATGAATACCATTCGGTACTTATTCAAGCAAAGTACTTACTGCATGGTCACAAAGAAACAACTCGCAGTATGCTCTGATGACCAACAGTAAAACATGAGAGGTAGAAATGGTGGTTCAAAACTTTATACCTTGATTTTAAGCACAAGCTAATGAAAATTCTCTGGCGCTAACACACAGTGCATGATACATTTCGTATAATGAACATACACAATCACTGGGTATGTCTACACAGCAAAGTTATTTCAAAATAACAGCCCTTATTTCGAAATTATTTTCCTAGCATCTACACAGCCAAACCGCTATTTCAAAATAAATTCGAAATAGTGGAACGCTTATTTCGAATTTGGTAAACCTACTACAAGGAATAATGCCAAACTTGAAATAGCTATTTCGAAATAAGTACTGTGTAGACACTTATTTCTAAATAGGGGGCCTCTAGCCTTCCCAGGGAGCCCTGGTGGCCACTCTAGCTGCAACCAAGAACACTCCACTCCATCCCCACCTCCCCAGAGCCCTTAAAGGGGTAGACTCTGGCCACAGTGCCTGTGTCAGCTCCAAGCCTGCCAGCCCAGGGCCAGCAGTCACTGCCCCTGACCCAGTGGCCCCGAAACATGAGCCAGCAAGCCACTGGCAGCCAGTCTTCCGCCGCCCCCCAGGAGCAGTCTGCTAGCTCCCAGGACCCTGCCAGGGCCCAGAGAAGGCAGGAGCCTTCCTGGTCCAGGGTGGAGATCATGGACCTTATTCAGGTTTGGGGGGGGATACCCCCAACGTCCATGATCTCCGCACTACATGGAGGAACGTGGCCATCTATGGCAGGATAGCTGCCAGCCTGGCCACCAAAGGCCACATGCAAACTCAGGAGCAGATTCGCATGAAAATAAAGTTGGTCTGCCGAGACCCTCAACCCTAAGCTTCCCCTACCTCTTCTTCCCCTTGCTTTCCCCTTCCAGCTCCCTCCTCCCAGGTTTCTCCCTCCCCTCTCCCACCCTCTCTTTTCCCCTCTTCTGCCTCCTTTCCCCAGTCTCACCAGAGTTTCATTCCCTCCCCCCCCTCAGTTTTGTTAAATAAAGAGAGTTTGTGTTCACGAAAATACGTGTATTTTATTTGACACCAGGAAGGGAGGTTAGGGAGGGGTAAGTGGAAGGATGTGAGGGAGGAATGAGGCACAAGCCCCCAGTGAGGCACACCAGGGAGGCTCTTAGTGCTCCTAATGGATGGAAGCTCTCCTGCAGGGCCTCCTGGATACTGACAGCCCCCCAAATGGACCTCCCAGATGGCAGCCTGCAGAAAGTACAGCCAGGCTCACAGCAACATGTTCACGAGAAGCACCAGAGTGCCCAGGGGCAGCTCTGGCTCTATGTTGCAGAGTGCTATGGTGTCCCGAGTGAGGGCAACCAGACCACTCCAAGACACAAATGCTTTGCTGTCCCTCAGCGAGGCAGGCAAGCAAGCAGGGACACCTGGGAACCGGCTGCCCGCGGGTGTGTGTGAGTGTGTGTTTCTCCCTTTAAGTACAAGCCTCAGATAGCCTCAGGCAACAGCCCCACACAGTAAGTCCTGACCTGGTGCCCTGCCGGACCTGGTTCCTGCCAGCCTTAAATGTGATTCAGCGTCCGCTCAGTGTGGACGTGCTATTTCCAAATAGCAAAATGGGTCCCTTTAAGCACAGATATCAGATAGCCTCAGACAGCAGCCTCACACAGTAAGTCCTGATCTGGTGCACTGCCAGAACTGGTTCTGGCCAGCCTTAAATGCGATTTAGAGTCCACTCAGTGTGGACACGCTATTTCGAAATGCATTTTGTTTGTAGACGCGTTATTTCGAAATGAGCTATTTCAAATTAACTATTTCAAAAAAAGAAGTTACTCACCCTGTGAAGTAACGATTGTTCTTCAAGATGTGCCCCGTGGGTGCTCCACTCTAGGTGTCGGATCCCGTCCCGGCGCTGCGGCTCGGAGACTTTTCATAGCCGTGCTCCGCCGGCTCGCACATGCGTGGTTCCCCAGGATAGCGTTCGCACCTTTGATCAGCCGCGCGCGAGCCGGCAACCGTCAGTTCCTCTCATCCGCTCATCTGTAAGAACATTAAGAAGAAATTTCCAGAGCGGGGAGGAAGGGCGGGTCATGGAGCACCCACGGGGCACATCTCGAAGAACAATCGTTACTTCACAGGGTGAGTAACTTCTTTTTCTTCTTCGAGTGGCCCCGTGGGTGCTCCACTCTAGGTGACTCCGGAGCAGTACACAGAACAGAATTAAAGCGCTCCGGAATCCAGACTACCAGCACGATTCAGTACTGCTGTAGCCACAGAATAATCTGAAGTAAACTGATTGACTATGGCGTAGTGCTTCACAAAAGTCGCGTGTGAGGACCATGTTGCCGCTCTGCAAATGTCACGAAAGGACACCCCACTGAGACAGGCTGTAGTAGCAGCAACTGCCCTAGCTGAATGAGCTTTGGGACGAGAAGGGAGAGGCTTCCCTCGCAGCGAGTAGCACATAGATATACACAACACTATGAGCGTGGAAATACGCTGAGAAGTTAAAGGCTGTCCTTTTGAATGACTCGCCACTGACACTAGCAAACGGTCTGTTTTCCTAAAACCCCGTGTTCTGTCGATATAAAACGCCAACGCTCTTCTCACATCCAAGGTATATAAGTGTGCTGCTTGCGTTGAGGTATGGGGTTTTGGGAAAGATGACTAATGGATCCGTTGTCCTGGATCAACAGATTCAGAAGAGAAGGTAGAGGATATGGCGTTTTCACTGACATCTGGTAGAGCATTGAAAACCAAGGCTGACGAGCCCATGCTGGCGCTAGAAGGATTACCCGAGCTTTGTCTACATTGATCTTTTCGAGAA